TAGCTAAAAATAAGCAATTAAACTAGAAAGTGGATAAACATGGTTCACTAACTCAAAATAGTGCCTAACAACTAGGAAGTAACTCACCCACTAAGCCCACTAAGTTTGAAATACTATTCAACATAATGCCTAACAATTAGGAAGTAAATCATCCACTAAGTCCACTTAGTTTGAAGCACTATTATAGTGCCTAACATTTAGGAAGTAAATCACCCACTAAGTCCACTTAGTTTGAATCACTATCAACAAATATGAGTAGTTTGTCACCTCTCTCACTACTAGAATGGACATCGACTCTCTCACATTAGAAGGGTCTGCTTTTGARCCATGAGATCTGGCTTCAGCAGCACTCACATTCCTCTGCCTTAGACCCGATCTCTCCAGTTGCCAACATGGCACGGGTAGGCAACATACCTCCTTCTAATCAGTCTCATGGTCATGGAACTAGTACTAGTGGACGTGGATCTCACAACAACAATAGGGGTGGTCGTGGTTGTGGACTAATGGGCTGGTCTGTCAATTGTGTAACCGGCTAGGACACGGTGTTCTTACTTGTCGACGGCGTTTTGATGCCTCCTATCTATCTTGGTGAACAGGCTTCTCCCCCTATGCAAGCATAACATGCCAATACATCATCCTTCTCTACAGGTTTTGATCCAAATTGGTACCCTGATTCGGGTGCCATTAATCACATGACACTGGATCTCAACAACTAGTCGTGACAAGTGGATTCTAGTGGTATAGACCAGGTGTGAGTCGGCAATGGTTCAGGTTTGGCTATTAGTCATATAGGGCGTTCAATTTTTACTCATAATAGTCATTCTTTCCATCTCAAAAATTTTCTTCATGTTCYTTCTCTTTCTCTGTTTTACAGTTCACCAAAGGTAACAATTTATTTTTTGAATTTCATCATTCTCATTTTGTTGTGAAGGAACCTATCAGGGGGAGGGAAGTACTTCGAGGTCCCAATGTTAGTGGTCTCTACTGTCTTCATCAGTAAATGCATCAGCTATGGGTACTCATGGTTTGCCTCCTCAATCTCTCTCAACTGTTCGTGTTAGCTCCTCTCATTGGCATGCTCGTTTGGGCCATCCAACACTTCAAGTAGTACACAAAGTTATTGCTTCCTTAGGTTTTCAGTTTAATAATGATATGTATGGTTCATCAGTTACCTTTTACTTTGTCTTCTTTTTAAGTCTACTCCTCTTGAATTGATAATGTATGATGTATGGGGTCCTTCCCCTTCTCTTTCCAATAATGGGTATCGGTATTACGTTATTTTCATTGATCACTTTACTCGTTTTACATGCTTATACCCTCTTGTTTGCATACAGATTTGATAAGTGTGTGTTTATTGGCTACAGTGCTATGCATAGAGGTTATCGGTTTTATCTCCCTTCTACAGGCTAGGTTATCATCTCACACCATGTGAAATTTGATGAGAATCAGTTCCCATTGCTACTGAATCCTCTGTTGCAAAGTCCACATCCACGCCAAGTGCTGGTACCTATATTTCAGCTCCATTAATTCTTGGGCCTATTTCTTCTTTAGCTCAGCCCATAGACCAGTGTACTACAACTGTTAATGATGTATCTCAGAATCATCCCGTTGACAACCTACCTGCAACTTCAGCTACATGGGCCCCAACTATTAATTCTCAGCCCACTGTACCGACACTATTTCCTGTTCACCATTATGAATGCAGCTCGAGCCATTGAGTCTCAGCTGATCGTACCACCATCCTCTCTCATGAATGCACTTGCTGTACCATCATCTCTTGCATCTAGTTCTGAGGACACACCTCCATGGAAAATTCTTCATTTGGTTGATGTTCTACAATGGGCCCCGGTTGTACATTTAGATCCTCCTTTGCACCTCTCCTGTCACAGGTTACCTGAATTTCTTATTGCTGAAGCCACCAGCCTTGAGCCTACTTCTTTTGTAGTAGCTAAATGCTACCCCTGAGTGGCAACGTGCCATGCAAGATGAATATGCAGCTTTGCTTCGCAATGCCACTTGGTGCTTGGTACCTCCTCCAATATCGTGGGGTGWAAGTGGATAGTTAAACTCAAGAGAAATTCAGATGGCTCTCTGGCCCGTTACAAAGCCCGTTTAGTGGCTAGAGGCTTTACACAACAGTACGGGTTAGATTACACTGATACCTTCAGTCCGATYATCACGCATGTGACCATTCACACTATTTTATGAATTGCAATCTCATATAACTGGCCAATCCATCAATTGGACGTGTAGAATGCTTTTCTTCATGGTGTGTTAACTGAGAATATTTATATCATGCAACCCTCGGGTTTTGAAAACAATACTCAGCCTCATTATGTTTGTAAATTGCACAAGACACTATATGGGCTTAAACAAGCACCCAGAGCCTGGTTTTTCCGCTTATATTCTTACTTGATGAAACTTSGGTTTCAAGGATATACATGTGATCCCTCCTTATTCTTACTTCATGCCTCAAATGGGCTTGTTTTCTTTGTATTGGTTTATGTCGATGACATAATTGTCACCAGGAACCAACCTTCAGCAGTTCACAAGTTCATTACAAATCTCTCTCAGTGCTTTGCCATTAAAGACCTTGGAGACCTTCACTACTTTCTTGGTATTCAAGTTACTAGAACACCAAAAGGTATGTTACTATCCCAAAGGCAATACGTAGTAGGCATGCTTCAGAAAGCTGCTCTTGTAGATTCCAAGCCCATGAATATACCACTTGCAATTCATTGTAAGCTCTCTAAGTCAGATGGCATTCCATTACCTGACCCCTTCACTTCAATATGTTGCTATAACACGTCCAGATGGGGCTTATGCAGTAAACAAAGTCTGTCAATTCCTCTCTACTCTGACAACCATTCACTAGAGTGTCGTTTAACGTATTTTGCGTTATTTAAAGGGAACCCTCTCTCATGAATTATGTTTACAACCCTCTTCTTCATTCTCACTTACTGCTTATACAGATGCAGATTGGGCGGGATGCCCAAATGACAAACGCTCTGCGGGGGGATTTGCTTTGTTCCTTGGGGTCCAATCTCATCTCTTGGAATGGTAAGAAGAAACAAACTATTGCTCGTTTAAGTACAAAGGCAAAGAATAAAGCTCTTGCCATTGCTGCCACTGAAGTTGTTTGGGTGCAGCATCTCTTAAAAGTGCTTCGTCACACTACAAGAAAACCGGTCTAAGCCGGCTTAGGCCTTAAGACTGCCAGCTTTGATCTAAGGCGGCGGTCTTTAGTCCGCCCCCTAAACCTCTGCCGACTTAGGTCAAGACCGCCGCCTTAGGTGGCCGGTTCAAATTGCTCTAAAGCAGCGGTCACACTGAGCTGCCGGCTTAGCATTAATCAGGCGGCGGTTTAGACCGCCAGCCTAGATACCGAAAGACCGCCGCCTTAGATTTCTGTCGAACTCCCTCATGTTCTTTCGGACCGCCCACCTTATGTGTTGTGGCTAAACCGGCGGTTTCATGACCACCGGCTTAGATCTTTTTTTTTTAATTTTTATTTATACTAGGTTAATTCTAACATCTTTTGGTCATGTTGATAGCTAAGCCGGCAGACATGACTGTCGGCATATACCTATTTTTTTCAAAAAAAAATGCATATATCCATTTAATTGCAGAATTTTTGTGGTACCTGAATTATTTATTATTATAATATTCAAAGCAAATTGTTTAAATACAATATCCAATTGATGTATAAAAGTACAAATTAAAAAAAAAAATCCAATTTCCAGGATAATGTAACATGTCTTCCAATGAAAATCCATTTAACATGATTGTTGAACATGCAAATCATACCATATAAATTTTTAGAGAATAGATTATGTTTATCAGTAAAAAATTGGTCAATGCTCAAAATACAAGATCAAATAAAATGAAGTGAAAATCTTTAAAAGAATATTGTTTTCTCACTTTGTAAGGGCTGACTTTGGCCAACTTGGATATTTGACACTTGAGCTGCAAAAGAATGTCAATTTAAATTATTTATAAGATCAAAATTA